ATATTTTCAAAGTCTCTCTGCTGTGTTGTGACTTTGCTTCAGGCATTTCAAATTGCTATTTGCCTGATAAGGATGTACACTTGCTTCTAAAGTATAAGCCTTTCTCCAGTTGGGAAAACAGAATGCCGATAGAGCTCCTTGGGAAGAATTCACTGTTGAGTTACCCCTTAGATGGTGAGCACCTTGGGCATGGGCATGACATCCTAGTGACTACTGGATCTGCTTCAGGTTCCCCCAAAATGTTCATTGAGTGAACGTGTGAAGTGGTAGATAAATGTCTATGTCTTTGAAGGAAAGACGTAGTAAGTAAAAAAAGATGGAAGGCAGGCTGAAGAGGTGAAATATTTGTGCTGTCTGGGAAGGGGGGAAGGTATATTTGGAGGCACTGTGACAAATGAAATGACGCTGGAATAGTTGAAAGGAAAAGATGGTAGCTTTGGAGGCTACAGAGACTTAGGGAAGATAGCTGCTTTTCATGTTACTGCGGCAGCTGATTTATTGTTTCTACATTTTCTCTCTTTTATTTACATGTTGGAGCCCATATAGCATGAATTCTATGTCTAGATCTCTATTAATAGAGAATATCCAGTCTTATGTTAATTAAAAATATTTTGTTTTTTGAATCTTATGTGTATGAGTGTTTTGCCTGCCTGTATGTAAGTGCACCTGTGTGTGCAATGCCTGCAGAGGACAGAAAAGGGCATCAGATCCCCTGGAACTGGAGTTGTGGATGGTTGTTAGCTGCCATGTGGGTGAGACAAACAAAATCCCAGTCCTCTGCAAGAGAATCCAGTGCTCTTAACCACTGAGCCATCTCTCCAGTCTTCAGTCTTTATGTTAATTTATGGGTGTGTAAAAAGGCCTGCCTTTTCAGGGCCACCCTGCAAGCCAAGCAGGCTTAGTTTTCCACAGTTCTGGGAGTACTCAGCAAACAGCACAGTGAATGTCAGCTCTATGATTCCTTGATCTCCATGTAATGTAGTAAAATACATTTATGAATATACAGATGTGAGGGAAATGTGACATGTTAGGAAATAACTTTAAGTAACTCTCCTCTTTTTCCATTATATATTCCTTAAGGCCTAACGATTCTTCCCTATTCTCTCAGTCTATGAGAATTATGCTGTAAAATCAAATGGTGGTGCTCTTCTGTGATGCTTCTAACTCTCAGTAATCAGGGGTTATTGGTTACTGATTGCTCTTTGAATCATTTTGTACTGTGTGGAGTTCTGATGTTGTTCTTGGGTTCAAGTCCTGGCTCTATCCTGACCGAAATCATGTGCCAGTGACTAAGCTTCTTTGCACCTTCATTTCCTTCATAGCTAAACAAGAACAATAGGATTCCAACTTTACAGTGTTGATGTAAGAAATAATTGAGATAATCTATGTAAAGTGTCTTGCACAGTGATTGGAAAATCAGGATTGCTCATAGAGTCAACCATAATGCTAAAATAATTATCATTGTTGGTAAGGGACTTCCAGGTCTGGCCTGCTGGATGGATGAACTACCTCTGAGTGCCTCCAGCTGGATCTGCCCATTCAGGACCCACCCCCTTCTCAGGGAGCAGGCCAACACCAGAGTCCTCCTATGCTGCTCCATCTACAAGCATTAGCCAGAGCATCCACAGCTATGGGTTGCTATATCACAAACACACAGCTACATGCACATACATGTTCCCAATGCTCCAGGCCCTGCTATCAAATCAAGGGGTCATTAGGGCTCCCCTCCAGGACTCCCTTTCCAGGCTATTCCACGCAAATGTGTTTAATGGATTTGAAAAAGGAATGGCAGAACTGCAAGTTTCTGGAATGTCATTAGCTTGAGTATGCATGTAATAATGATGGTTTTTGGTCAAGGATGAGCCCTAGAACAGAGACCAAATATGTTTGTTATTGCTTTTGGTGGAAGTGAATGTGTGTATTTGTGGGTTGTGGAACACATTAGATTTGGAGGTGGATCTGGAAATCAACAATCAAGATACTTGGAGGCCTACGGTCTGATGGACAGAGTGAATTTACGGGTAAGAAGACCAACGCCCAAAATGAGAATGGAACACGAATCAGAACATTGCTTTCTCAGTCATTTGTTCATTCGTTTGACAAGCTGAGTATTGATCGTGCTGTGGTGTCAGACACGGGGGTCAATGGAGAACGAGACAGGAGCCCTACCTTCTTGGAGCTGATGGCCTAATGCAGACAAGTTAAACAACCGTCTTCAGAACAGTTGCCCCTAGAAGCACATCTGGAAGATTAGAGTGGAGTGTGTTTGCTTCTAGACAAACCTTGGTGGTAGCAGAGAACAGTCATTGGGTCAGTACGGCAGGGGTACATTTAGGGAGTATAGTAAGATCAGGGTGGAGAGGTGAAGAGGAACAGAGTCACCTAGAGCATCTTATGATCAAAAGTTAAGGGAGGAGCTGGGGAGAGCTCAGTCAATGAAGGGCTTATTGTGCAAGCACCAGGACCTGAGTTGGATCCACAGAACTCATGTAAATAATTCAGATTTGGGCCAACAAGATGTCTCAATAGGTAAAGCTCCTGCTATCAATAAGCTTGATGACATGATCTCGTTCCCCAGAACCCACATGGTGGAAGGAGAGAACTGATTTTCATAAATTTTCCTTTGACCTCTATTCATGTGCTGTGACATGTGGGAACATACACATACTTATACACACACACACACATGCATGCACCCACAAACATACATGTACATACACACAGGCATGCATGCAAGATGTAAAGAAAAAAAAAAACAAAACAGACATGGTTCATGCCTGTAATCCCAGCAGAGATAGGAAGAGTCCTTCTGGCCAGGGCTTGCTGCCTACGCCAGCCAGTCCATTTGAGCGGCTCCTGAAGAATGGCACCTTAAGTTGTCCTCTGGTCATGCATATGTACCCACAAACACATGTGTACCCCCACATACAAGTTAAGGGGTTTGTTCTTTATTTGGGGGCACTCTACAAGGCATGACTAATAGACAAGTGGCAAGGACTAGCATGTGAGGATGGTGAGCAGTTATTGAAAATGGTATTCTCTATGTGAGGAGGGCTCAGTTGAGAATATTTATGGGAGAGGATCTTCCCTATGATTTCAGATGATGGAGAGCTACCCCTGCTGAGAGCAGGGCATTTTCTGAACACCTGCAGCCACACCTGTCATCTCTCCCTGGGTGGAGTGTGCAACTCTGTGGCAGTCTGTATTTGTTGTGGGTGGGTTTTCATGAATCTAAAGGAGCCCTGTCATTTTAGCTTCCCATAGCCATGTTCAAATTCCTCAGCTTGGCTTTCAAGGTCATCCAGCCTCTTCCACCCAAACTCATCCCACTCCAGGCAGGGAGCCTCCCTCCAGTCAAACAAGTCTCAGGCTCTGCCACGGAGCTCCCAGCTTTGGTGACTCTGGCCTGCTTTTGTTCCTAGATTTAACATCCTCCAGATTCATCTGTAAATTGGAACTCATCACTCCTGGTTCAGGATGTTCTGTGGATCACATGCCTGAGAGTTGCTAGCAAAGAGTCTAGCACAAGAATATCTTTCAACTAGGCTCAACAGTCTTCACACTTAATTTCTAGACCCTTGTCCATGTTTCACAAACTGGATTACTCAAATGTTTTCAGGGCTAGTATGACATGAGTGGTGGGAACCAGAGCAGACAGGAAGGGGTCTCTTTTGCTTAGAGGGAACATATACTAGAGACCCAAGAAATTAAATTGAAGCAAACAGATACAATCAAAACAAAATCAACTATAAAGGCATGCAGGGACAGGCTGTGGCTTCCTCCCCCCATTGGTTAATAACCCTTCACCCTCTGCTTCTACCTTGGATGGTAAATATGTCTTCTCAGGCAACTCTTCTATTTGTCCACAGAGCTACTTATTTTTCACTTGGTTCATGTTCTTTATGGTGTTACTGATATTTTAATGTAAACTATTTTGATTCTGAGAATTTTTATGAGAAATATGTGTAATTATGTATGCAAAGTATCTTGGGTTTTGCACCTACAGGGCAGCCTTAATGTTGTTAAAAATGACATCAAAGCTATTACATCTAAGTTTGGATACCAGCTCTCTAAGAGTTCCAGGAATCTCCTTCCTGTTTGCTGACTTAGTGAAGAACAAGGATAACAATAATAATGGCTATTGCTTATTGGATGATTACTCACCTTACAGGAACTCTCTGGGTGCTCATTTCTGTTCACAGACAATCCAAGAGGCAGTTCTTAGGAGTTTTATATCAAGTGACCTGCCAAGTTAGGTAGTTAGGAAGCTACTGTGTAGGCTCTGGCTGGCCCCAGAGCCCATGTACCAACCATGGCTCTGGATTCATCCTGCCTGCCTTCTGTTCATCCCTAAATGCCCAGCTCACAGGAACCTCCTCCCTGGCTTTCTACACAGAGTGCATTGTTCCACCTTATGCATCCTCATAGCACTTCAGAATAGCAATTACATCCTCTAGCAATTATCACATTAATATTTTTTATGTGTGTGTTTACTAGTACGTGCGTCTCTTAAGGAAGAATCTGTGAATTACTCAAGGTTGTGTACTTGACCTAGGGCTTGACACAGTCTGATATGCAACAGTATTCACTGAGACTCAATTAAACTGATAATGACCTACTTGAATTTTATTGACGGTAAGATGACAGCTGGAGATGAAACACAGCTGTGTGAAAATTTCAAATGCTAAGCATTATGGTGCTAAGCTATTGACTATTTATATCATGAGACTATAATATTTTTGGTGTTGTCTCCTGGACTGGAGTAGCTGAAACCACTACTAAGGTGTGTTTTCTCACCAGAGTCCCCAGCTCTGCTGGCTGCAATGCTTCCTTTCCGTCATTCCTTCTGGGAGGGGTCAGTTCATGGCAGATATGACTGCCTTGTGAATACCAGAAAGAAGGAGAAAGAAAAAAATGTACCAGAACATAAGCTTAATAGCAATTAGAATATTTCATGAGCGGTTACATAACAGGTTGAAAGAATGTCAAGGAACCTCAGCCTCGCCCTGCTGTGAGCCAAGGTTCCGAAATTGTATCAGGACACTGCCCTCCGTCTGCACAGTGCTTCAACATCTGGAGTCTTCTCCCTCTATGATTTCATCTTCTTCCAACAACCCATTGGAGTGGGCAGGAGAGGCTTAGAGAGTTAAGGACTTGTCTGGTCAGAGAAAGATGGAGTGGGGTCATGACCCTGCCTTCTGAACATTTGCAGGGCAAGCACAAGATGGCCCCAGTAGCCGATTTGCCATTCGAAGGTTCCCATCCTCAGAGCATAGATACCTTCAAGGACTCAGCAGACGATGGGAATAGAGATACTGACGAGAGACATGCTGCTGGGCAAAGACGAGACAAGGGTTGTGAGGTGACCTCACAGGGGCCTAGAGGGGAGCCCAGTCACCAAAGGTCAAAGAAGGTCACATGTGGAATTTACTTATTTACTTACTTATTTATTTACTTACTTATTTATTTATTTATTTATTTATTTATTTATTTATTTATTTATTTAATTATTTATTTATTTATTTATTTATTTATTTAATTATTTTAGATAGGGTCTCCCTATTGCCCCAGCTGACTTAGAATTCAAATTCACTACGTAGACCAGGCTGGGCTTGACCTCACAGAAATCCACTGCCTCTGCCTCCTTCATACTGGAACTAATGCTTCATGCCACCACACCTGGTACATGTGGAATTTTATAGGATAATATTTTAACATTAAAAAATTGTATTTATTTATGTGTATGAATGTTTTGCCTGCATGTATATAAGTGCATCACGTGTTTGCAATGGCCACAGAGGCCAGAAGAGGGTGTTTAAGAGCAGAGAAAAACACTGGCTGCTCTTGCTGTGGATTGGGGTTCAGTTTCCAGCACCCACATAACAGCTAACAACCATCTATAACACCAGTTTCAGGGGAGCTGACACCCTGTTCTGACCTCTTTGGACATTGCACACATGTGGTGCATTTACATACATGCAGGCAAAACACACATATCCATAAAATAAAACTAAACCTTTAAATTTTTTTAAAAGAAAGAAAGGATGAAGTAGGCATGCTTGAGACTAGCCAGCAGTTTTCAGTCGGTAAGCACTACCTCAGCGCACCTCGTTACATTTAATTTCCCGGTGGATGGTTCAGAAGAGCTCTCCAGGTTCTGTCCTGATCTTTTAGGGCATCAAAGAGATACAAGTGAGAGCGCCTCTGCCTAGCGCTTCCGGTTCCAGTTCTCTCTGCTCAGGCTGCCTGTCTGGGTTCCAGGGCTGGAGCAACGCAGAAGCAGGAAATAAATGATTTTGGAGCCCGCTTTGGTGAGGGCACGTGATTTGTTTGTGTTCCTCAGTGTCCTGTCCTTCAGTTCCTACAGATTCTGCGAGCCCTGGTCTCAGATCCTCTCCCTGTGGACCATTCTACAGGGTCGTTAGTGTGGGCTGCTCCCTGGCTGTTCGGACTTCGTCTCAGCCCAGCAGCTGCTTCCCTACTACTGCTGAACCCCGGGCCCAGGTTAGACTGCTCCAGGCTGGCTCAAAGCCACAACCGTGGACTGCCAGCATCCTGAATTGACAGAGGTCTCCACTGTAGGTCCAGTTTCTCAAAGACCTTGTGACTATCCTCCAAACTATTAGGATCAAGGTAACATTTGCCACATATGGGAATATTTACTGACAGGTTGACGTTCATAAAGATGCAGCTCATGTGCAGGAATCCTTGCTGGTTGTGGGAGGGAGAGGAATGGGGGAAGGGAGATGGCTGGGCAGAGGAGAGTTCTGGGCTTCTGCAAATGAAAAATGAGGCAGACATAGCGAATTCTAAAATACAGCTGAAGGCACTGCAGTTTGGGCAGCTGAATCCCATTAAGAAATCATAAGGAAGCTCTGTGTTCCTGCCATTGTGATGAAGAGGAAAAATAATCTCTGAGGGCTTCACAAAGCAAACATTTTGTGAGCAGAAGGCTTAAAGTTCTGCAAAACCTCATGAAAATGGAAACAGTTTGATAGGCATGGAGCAAGCCCAGGAAAGAATCAAGCCTGCTCTTACAGTCTTTACCCTGGGGGGCTCTGGGAGGGAAATTCCAGTGCCTAGCCAGGGTGTTCCTGCAGGGGAGGTCAGAGCCAGGTGGACCCCTCATCTAAAGCAAGGCCAAGGCCTAGATGCTCAGGGAACAGAGACAAAGCTGTTTTCATATTCACAAAAAGACATTTCACACCAACAGATAAGGCAGGATTTTCCCACTGCCCCCCTTTCCAATCTTTACTTTAGGCTGTCTAGATCTTAATAAAAAAAAAAAAACCAATTGAAGCTTAAAAAATTCAAATTTAAACCATTCTGAGGAATAAAAGAAAAACAGTATGAATGTTCCTGGTAGCCTTAGAGAGTGACAGGGGGAACATCTCTGTGAGCAGGGGACATAGTTTTATAGGCTTGGTGCCGTGATGCTGTGAGGAAGGACAAGTCGGTCTCAAATAAAAGCATTATTTATGTTACTGTATTTTAATGATAAAAATGCAGAGCTAGAGAGATGGCTCAGCGCTTTAGAGTACTGTCTGCTCTCACAGAAGACCTGAGTTGAGGATCCCAGCACCCATGTGGTGTTTAACAACCATCCATAACTCCAGTTCCAGGGGAGCTGAGTCCCTCTTCTGGTGTTCGTGTGCACTGCACAACATGGGGTGTAATGTACACATAAACAAATGAAAAAAATTTAAAATTAACAATAATATAAAATGCATAAACATCTGAAAATAAAGGCCTTTCAACCAAGGCTTTTTTGGAAGGCTCTGTAGATTTGGAATCTATTTTTGAATGTACCTTGATCAATGCTCAGATGACTGAAGTCCAGTAAACCCCAAGGTACAACCAGGAGAAGGATCTAGAAAGGATGAAGGAGTTGTTAGGGGAGAGGGCATCTTACTACATCGTTTAGTGTTAGGGATGAAGACTAAGAAAGAGGAGATTAAAACACATAAATACCTTCCTTGAAGTCCCATCAAAGGTACCTCTTTTTTATTTTTGTTTTTTTAAACAGAGGCTCACCATGTATCCCAGCTGATCTTGAACTCACGATCTGCCTGCCTCTGGTATTACATGTTTCTGTGCAGGTGCCACCATACCTGACTCAAAGGCCCAGTTCAAAGGTGGCTTTTTCATGAAGCAAGTATTAAATCACACATTGGCTAGTAATTCTGTACAAACTGTTACCAAAAGGCATGACTTAATTAGAAAATAAAAAATAGATTGAAGAAGAAGATGACTTTAGAAATAACCAATTATCGGGGCTGGAAAGATGGCTCAGTGGTTAAGAGCACCGACTGCTCTTTCAGAGAACCTGGGTCTATTCACAGCACCCACGCGGTGCCTAACAACCATCTTTAACTCCAGTTGCAGGGGAATCCAATGCCCTCATCTTACATTAGCAGGCATTGCACGACACAGGTATACTTACATACGTGCAGGTAATACACTCATACACAAAAAAATAAAGATAATAAAATATTTTAAAAAAAGAAATACCTAATTATTGTGGGATTCTGAGACTGATTTATAGAACACGGCCTTGTCCTTTTTTATGAGCTCACACTAGTCTTGGTTGTCACTTAGGGTCAGGTTACTTGGAGAGGGACAAGCAGGCCTGTGGTCTGATACATACATGCCAGTTCTGGTTTTGTTTAGAGTGGGATGGTCTTGGCAAGTGTTCCTCTGCTTCCTCCTTGCCTCCTCGGAGGTAACAGCATTCAGTATCTAGCACTTAATAACTTGTGCATAGAGTTATAAGACTTAGGAACTGTCTTCATTATCATAACTTGAGCACAAAAGACCAGCGTGAGGCTGGCTCCATGTAGCACCCTGGGGATTCAGTACTCCAGCAGAATTTCATAACCATAGCTTGTGCTAATATCACATTCCTTTTAATGTCTTCCATGAGATCTGGCTTCTTGTGATATTTACTTTCTTAGAGAGCACTAGAAAAGAGTAGAGGGAGGAGTGTGTTCCTGAAGGTCACTGACATATAATAATTCAGGGATCCCTCAGAATACTAACACCAGTCACTCACTGGCCTGGAGCACCTCCTTTCCTCAGTGAGTGGCTAGTTATGATCCCCAGCAAGGGCATCTATTAAATACACTAACACATTCACAGGTGGGTTTAGATGACTCACAATCCCCTTCTTTCTTCCGTCTATCTATCTGGGCTGGAACACTATCCAATGGACAGGCAAGGACAGCCAAATCTTCCCCAGAAATGAAGGAAGCCACCTCATCCATTTAAATCAGCATGTCCAAAGTGAAAATCGGGGCCAGCATCTATGTAGCTCTTTTTCTCTCTGCTGCTTCTTTGTGTGTGATGGTTGGAGGAGGGGTTGACCGTAAAGGAATCATATAATTTAAGAATATGAACAAAATTAGTCTTCTCTGTCTTTCCAAGAATTGACTATGAAATTGCAGACTACTGTGCAAGCCTTTGACTCTTCAAGTGTCTATGAAAATGGAACAAAGGATTAGTCTGAGGGCACAGCATTAAGCTCCGCTGATGGAAAGTGAAGCCCTTTGAAATGGTTCCTTTAAAGGCCTTGGCATTCTGAATTTAATCCATTGTCTCCTCAACTACCTTAGGCATTTGTTTTTAATAAGTCTTTACAAAGTAAATGATTCAACAGAGGACTTCAAAACTGTGTTTCTGACCAGCAAAATAAATACTCTCTCCAGATGTTTCTCATTTTTCTATGTCACTAATTCAAACTCTGAAATCTCTTGTTTATAGGACATTTATTTAAGCCTGATGTTTTGCATGCCTTCTTAGAATCTCCCTTTCTGGCTCTGCATTGCAAAGCCATTTAAGGGGTGATCTGCTAAGGACAGAACCTTACCTTTCCAGTGTATTCCAAAAGGCCAGGGAGATAGGTCATCTATCAAGGTCCTCTTCAGGTCCTTTTATCATCTGAGTCACATGGATAGCTTTTTGGATTTTGCTCCAAAACTGGTCGACATCAGAGGAGCTAAAGTTGCTGTTCTCTGTGCACTCCTACACTACAGGCTGTGTGTGGTGGCTTTCTGTACTTTATTGTGTTCCTTAGTCTACCTCGCCCCGTGCCAGCAGTGACCAGGGAATTAGAAACGCCAAAAAGGAAGTGACAACAAGAAGTCATGGTGAACAAAAAGCAACAGAGGTGGTGCTGCTGGTCCTGGGGTGACACAGATGCACACAGGTGACGATCAGACATGTAAGCTTTTCCCTATGTGAGATTTCAAACACTATAATTGTATTAATGAAATTGTCTTGAATTACTGATACGGTTTAGATCAGAAATGGCCCTGCTCAAGTGTTTGAACGCCTGGACTCTAACTGCTGGCGCTATTTGGGGGAGGTTCTGGCAGAGATGGGTTCCTAGGAAACGGTCTTTCAGTGTTATAGCCTGGCCCTACTTCGAGTCTATTCTCTCTGTTTCCTGGTCCACTAAGGATGTGAACAAGTGGCAGTCAAAGTGCCTACCCCCACCACTCATCCACACAGCCACCGTGCCTTCCCCACCATGATCAACTGTGCTGACACTGAGCTGAAATAAACCCTCTATCTTAAGTAGCATCTGCCAGGTATTTTGTTATAACAATGAGCAAAGTTACTAATATGATTGTGGTTAGCATTTATTAAGACTTTCGCTATGCTAAGTATTCTTGGTTATCTTTAACATTTCTTAGGATAATCCTAAGAAGGGATTCTATTATCTCCATTTCATAAGTGTGGAAACTGAACCTTAGAGAAACTAATGACTATTTGTTCAATAAATATGTACGCAATGGAGACAGTCTCTCGCTGAACCTAGAACTTACTGTTTTGGCAAGACTGGCTGGTCAGCAAGTCTTCAGTATCTGGCTATCCCCTCCTCCCCAGTGCTGCTGCTACACACAGTGGGTGGATGCTTTTATGTGGCTGCTAGGGATCTGACCTCGGGTCTTCATGCTTTTGTGGCAATCACTTTATCAACTGAGCCATCTCCCCAGCCCCTGGAACCAGCATTTCTGAAAAAGTATACTCTGAATTGTATGTGATTTGAGATCCAACTCGACTTTCCCCAATTTATGTTCTAAGTATCCCTCTCTGAGGCTGATACTGTCTTTGGATTTTCTAAACTTCTGGGTTGTTTGTTTGTTTTAAAATAAAAGCCTAGAGTTTCACAATTACATTATCTTACCTGATGAAACTTAGTAAGTTTCCAACTGGAAGAATCTTCATGAGAAAATACCTGGATGTGAAAGCTGTTGAGAGAAAGATAAAGGACAGTCAAGAAAAGGAAATAAATTTCATTATCATTACAATTGATATGAACTCTTAAACAGAGTAAGTGTAATAATAATGATAGATACATTGTATTTTCTATTAGCAACTTAAACGAATTTGTAGGTTAAAATATATAATTGGGCCTACACAGTGACTGGTAAAAAAGAAAATTTCATGATTTAACAATCCTGTTGAATAGAAATGGTAATAATAGCACAGTTACAGTTAAATATTCTAAACAATATTAATTAAGTTTGTTTTGACCCACGGTTTGTTTGCCCAAGTTATGGAGCTATTTTTAGTAGTGAGAGTATTAGAGTAATTTTTTGGAGACAAGATCTTGCAATTTAGCCTATGCTGGCCTAGAACTCAAGACCTTCCTGCCTCATGTTCCGGGGTGTTGGGATTTCAGGTACTTGTGGAGATAAACTGCTGAAATAATTTTTTCTTTTTGCATTCTGAAATCTCCTTCCTAATACAATGATGTGATCTGCTTTTTGATGATTTTTTACTATCAGGCAATAAACATGAAAACTGTCATCTTTATAAAGAAGCATCTGAGAGGCACACATATGTGGTGTTTATGAAGGAGAGTATGGAGAGAGGGTTTCTTCCAAGAAAGTTCTCAGCATTTCCTCTCCTTCCTTGTAAGGAAGAAATCCAGGCATCAAACTCACCTGGAAGTGGGCCCTTCACCTCAGCCTCCCGACTCCTCATTTGGTCAAGACCAGTGGCTAGAGGGACCCAAAGGAATCCTCGCTTCCACAGTTCATTCCCCCTTCCCCACAGTGCCCAGACTGACACACAGGCCTCACTGTGGGGCTTTTTAGCCTGCTTTTTGCAATGGCCAAGACTTGGCAAATTTTGCTTGCAGTGTTTGCTATGTCTCAGCCATCCACCCTCGCTTGCACACAGAGGCAGAGATGATGGCCGTTCTTTTCTGGCATTTCAATGCATGTTCTACTGTTCTCTCCCTCCACACTGATTTCATGACTGAGGCTGATCACAGCTCATGCTCTGCTCCTCCAAAGCACTCTAAGTACATTCAGAAAAATTTGATATACTAATGTGAACCATGAGCTTGATCTTTACCCAGAACTACCTTTCTCTCTCTCTTTCTCCCCCACCACCCCCCTTTCTGTGTTTATCTTTGGAAGCCAGAGCAGGATGCCAGGTGTCCTCTATCACTGCCTGACTTATTCCCTTGAGATAGGGTCTCTCACAGAACTGGATGGCCAGCAAACCCCAGTGACTAACCCTTCTATCTTCACTCCTCCTCTCCCTCATGGTTGGGATTATGAGCATAGACTATTATGTCCAGGTATTTCTTACATAGAAGCTGGTGATCCTAACCCAAGTCCTCATGCCTGTACACCAAGCCCTCTTACCTACTGAGACATCTGCCCAGAAGTTCCATTTTTTAAAATGTCTAAATCAAGAAAAGTTTTCTTGCATACAAGAGTTAGCTCAGAAAATTTCTTCATACTCAAGTTTGAAAAGAGCCATATCCTCTCCACTGGACTAAATCTAGCTTACAATATCTTTACTCTAGAAAGACATGATGAACTCATAGGTGTTTTGCCAATTTCTTTCTTCTTACAATTTTATGGCAAGCCAGTGCTCATCAGCTTATCAGGGCAAAGTGCCCACAGACTTGAACTCATTAGTTTGTCTGGGCTAGAGACTTGGGAAGTTCAAGATGCTAAACTCATTCTAAGTATACTTGTACATTAACGTGTCAGCAAAAGTCATTTTCTTTTCTCTTTATTGAAAAACCAACTGCAAACATTTACTGAGCTTGAGATTGCTATAAAGGAAGTGTTCGACATAAGCCTTGCCCAGTGTGTATACTGAAGTCTGAATAGAAGATCTACAAATGGGAACTGATTAGAAACAGTGCAAGAAAGGGTAGAGTATGTAATAAGACCTTAGCAGGTATGATGCCAGGGAATTTAGGACGGCTTTAGGAAAAAAGTGATAAGAACAGAGATTGAAGGGTGCACAGGAATTGTGTAAAATAGGGGTATGGTCCTTATGTTTTATTTAGTTAACAAATGCACTGGCTTAAACAATTTGGCATCACTGATTAAATGTTGTTCTAGAGGTCTACTGTGCTAGTAAGCTAAAGAAGTTTTTGGTTTGACCTTCATTGGCAAGATTTTAAAACAAATTTGATTAATTATAAACATGGACACATTGGAAGACTTTACATTAAAAAGTCTAGCCTTCAGGGCTGGAAATGTATCTCTTAGTAGAGTACTTGCCTAGCATGCAGGAATCCTTAACCAAGCACTGGATAAAGTGGATATGGTAGCTCACATATGTAATCCTAGCACTTGAGGGGTGGGGGCAAAGGGGATCAGAAGTTCAAGGTCATCCTCAGCTACATAGTGAGTTTAAGTTAGAGGCCATTTTGGGATACATGAGATCTTGTCTCGAAAACAATAAAAAACAAAACAAAACAAACTGAGTGATAGCAGCAAGTGTCTAAGCACCTAGCATGCCCAAGGTCCTGGATTGATTCCCCAGCACCTGAAAAAAAGAGAGAGTATTTGACTTTGGCATGGTACTGTAAACCTCTAATCCTGGCACTTTGGAGGCAGGAGTACCTCAGAGATCTAGGCCAGACTAGGCCACAGAGTGAGACTCTGTCTCAATAAACAAATGAATAGAAAGACAGTCTGCCAAGAACCTGGCCTACCTTTCTGCATGGTCACCAGGATCTAGAGTTGAGTAGCAACTGGTGGTGAGCTCAAGCCCTTGGCCATTCTGTCCCTCTCACACCACACCCTATGGTTCCTATTCCCAACATGCTTTCATTATGGGTGTTAACAGTATGAATGTCTGGTCACTGTGGGCATTTGAGTGTTCAGAGCTGTGCTTTAAAGAGCCTTCTGCCCAGTGGAAGAAGTGGCATAGACTCCATCCAGTCAGTTCTGTCAAAACAAGTGGTCCTGTTCTTTTAGATCTTTTTTGCAAGTAAAACACCCAACCCATAGTAGGATACTTGATAAAACACTGCTCATGATTTAGAGAGAGAACATCATGGATAATACATGTATAGTTTAGCTTTTTTTTTTTTCTGATAGTGCATCATGGATCATGACTTAAAAATGTACAGAAGTAATGGCAGGGACCTAGGCTGTTTATAGGAAGGAGGAGATTTCCACTAACTCTTTCAGCTTGTTTAATTTTGGAAACAAATTTTAGGTAGGAAAACTCTGATAAATCAGATAATTGAGGTTGACTATTGTATTTTCAGAAAAGCTTCTATTTTTATATATAATTTAACTTAAACAGAGTTATTCAGACATATTTAAAATATAGTCAAGTCTAGCTGTGAAGTATCCTATAAGGTTAGGCATATGAGTCTGAAGACTCAGTGTGGGCAATCAGTTCCTTACTGCCTGCTCTCAGGACAAGTAAGCAGCATGCAGATGAAGACAGAGCCAACAGCATTTGTAAGATTTGGAATGAGCATCGGAATGGCTGTGCGTTCATCCATCTGTCTTGATGTGCGCAATTCTTTAGCTCAGTGAACCTTGTCTTGATACTCCTAATAACCAGATCTATGAACTTGGCCAGATCCACAAATTCTTCCTATTTTCTTCATAATCCAACGAGGAAATCATATTAACTAGTTCTATGATCCCCCCCACCCCTAAAGATGGACCGTGCAATTTCTTCAGGCTGAGGTGCCTGAAGTAAAGGGAACCCATCTTGTCTTGGTTTAGCACTGATCTGCGGTCCTTAACCTTGGCTATCTCTGTCCAGCCTGATCTATGTGAGGTTTGCTTTGCCGTCACAGCTGTTCTTCTTCCAGTGGGTCCTGAAGGCCATTGGTACATGCCAGGGCTCTCTGGTTATTACATACTCTTTCACCCCTGGTTATTAAATGCTCTATCATCTTTTTTTTTTTTTGGTCTTTTTTGAGACAGAGTCTCCCTGTAGCCACAGCTATCCTGGAACTCACTATGTAGATCAGGCTGGCCTTGAACTCACAGAGATCCGCCTGCCTCTGCCTCCAGAGTGCTGGGACTAAAGGCGTGTGCCATCATGCCTGGCACAATACTCTATTATCTTTAAGTCTCTTTTTAGTCCCAATTTCCTCTGCCTGGTTTCAAAATAAGGTTTACTTTCTGCTGGAGCCATAAATGGAGAGGGAGAGCCAATTTGCAACACTTCTTAGAATGTAAAATTATTGAAAATATTACATGAACTATTTGAGCATTACAACATTTACCTAAGGGTTTTCAGCTCAGGAGCTGCTAAAGCTGGCTCAGCCTCTTCTCCTCACTTCAAAAAGGAGATCCTCAGAGTTCCTTCCTGCCCTTGAGCCTTGGTGATTCACTCAAATCGACCAAAGCCAACCACCACCATAATCACCATCAGAACACTCTCACCATCTCTGAAGACTGAAAGTGAATAGGATTGTTTCTTTTTAAAGACTTATAAACAAATCTCAAACTACCTTAGGGCAGGAGGTCTAAAAGGGAGCACCTCTCCTCCCCTCCAGCACTCTGTGGTATTTGAACCTGCTGGGCTCGGCTGATGTTTAAGCAGCATCTTCAAGCTCCACAGAGCTAATTACAGCTGCTCCAGATGAGCCCTAGTGTTGGTCACATTGCTCCAAGTGTAACAACTTCCTGTGAAGAAGTCATTTCAGTTTGGGAAAATTATGGTAATTCAATTCGCATTGTTCTGAAAGTTGCCAGACGTGTCGCGCCAGGAATTAGTGTCAAGAACTTTCATGTTCCTTGGTTCCACCTCTTCTGTGTGTGTGGGAATCTGAACAAAGGGTGGAGGCCCCAGGCAGTGCCATCTAAGGAGCCAGGAAGAGATCTGCCCTTTCAGTAACGATGACTTCAGAATTATAAAAGCTTTCCGGAAGCTTTCACTCAGGACTTTTATATGCTGTACGGATGGAAGTAAATCAAACCCAGGTAGTCTGCCATGGGAGGTTAAGCGACTAGGAGAG